AACACCAAGGATTAGCTTATGAACCCAGGATTTAAAAAAAAAAAAACAGACTTTAAAAACAATGTGGAGTATACCATTTCTAGTGTAAAAGCCCAATAGACAACTTGCAATCTGTGAAACTGTTGATCACTGATCAATAATACTGTAAACCATGACAGTAATCATTAGTTAGTCACTCACTGCCTCCATGCTCCTGGGTCAGAATTAAGCGCATTGTTGTTATTCGTGTTTCCTTCAAATAGTTTTCCATTTGTCAGTGCACTGGTTCTGTCTTTCTCCTCCATCTTCAGACTCGTGTTCTGATTGATGCAGGACTCTGAGGGCCCTGACTGCTGTCTTGTGGTGGGCCGATGCTCTGCTGCTGGACCACAGGACTGGAAGAACTTCTGCCTGGCTTCCTGAGTCCTCTGAGCAGATGCGGTCCACGACTGCAGAGCATGACTGAGCTCCACTGGTCTGGGCACAGCTTTGATGGGTGCAGATAATATAGAGGTGTAGCGCTGTGAAGATGGCTGATCGCCACGGTCAGATTTGGGTACCAAATCAGCAAGCGTAAAGTCACTGCTCTTAAAAGGCTTAACAGTAGGCTTGAAGTCATTTTGGCCATGTTGGTGAATGGTGCAGACCAGTGAGCCAACGTCTGCTCCCAGTTTATATGCCCCAGATTTCAGTGTGCCATAGCATACAGTACACCTGTTAAAAAAAAAAAAGTTGAAAAAAGTTATAGTTGCATTATGTGTTACATAGCAATAAAGTAACTAAACAGTGCAGTTGCATGCCGAAGTTAAAGACGTACCAATTGTTATGAGAAATAATAATGATGGTTCCCCAAGCACCACCAATGAAGACTCACTTAAAGCAGCTCCGGTGGTAGAGTTTTCCATCATCCAGGTGTCTCTGGACCAGATGTACATGATTTCCACATACCGCACATTCACTGTTCAACGTGCCGGTTTTATTTGAATTCTCCACCAAAACAGCTTTCTACAAAAGAACAGAATCATGAATAATTTTTCAATAAATGGAAGTAAATTTAAAAAATAATAATATAAATGAAAAAATAAAAAAAATTATATAAAAGTTAAATTAGATATAAATTCAATAAAATACACTTTAAATAATAAAATAGGTTATAGATAAAGTATATAAAATACAATTTAAATTGTATAACTAGGATTAGACCAAATCACTTAAATCAAGGGAAAGCCAAATTGACACCTTCTCAGCATCTCTGTGTGGCTGTGGAGATCTCACTCTGAGTGGAGTGACGGGCGCCTGCACACATTTTGGCCCTGGAGATTTCTGCCAGTCTGTGCCAGTCTGCCGAGCTGAAATAGCTACAATGTGCTTCTCTGGAGCACTTTTCTGGATGTTAAGAGATGTTGGACGGTTGTCTCTGATATTTTTTGGCATTTCAGTTTGAGGAGGACGGTTCTCTGTGTTTGCTTTAAGATTGTGGTTTTTGGCAACCACAGGCAGATTCTTCTTCTCTGATGGCATCTCCTTTGAGTCCTCAGCATGCCGTTTGATACCTCCTACTCCCCCGACTGAGAAAAATAAAGCCATTGAGAAGAAAGTCTAAGAAATATGAATACATTAGATAGGAGTAACACTAACATTATTTCAGCAGTATGCAGCAAGTATACTGTGCACCCTATGTAAAGTTGACTGTAGCCATTGACTTCCATAGTATGGAGAAAAAAAAATACTATGGAAGTCAATGGCTATCGTCAACTGTTTGGCTACCAACATTTTTCACTACAGAAGAGCAAACTCAAACAGGTTTGGAATGACATGAATAAATGACATTTTTATTTATTGGGTGGACTATCCTATAAAGTTACAAAAGGGACTGCTGGATTTACCAGATTTTTTTTAAATTTACAGATCAAATTAGAGTTTTTACTTGTGAAATTGATAAGTTTTGCAAATGTATAAATTTTTACTATATTTTCAAACTAATACTAGCAACCATAGCTGCCAGTTTTTTTTCTATAAAAACAGGATTTTCTTTTTACAGTGTAGAATACCCAGACAAAATGTGCAATATAGAGTTTACCACACTGTAAATAAATACTGTATCCCACAATGCAACACACAGCTTGACTAATTTCATCCAACTGCCCAA